AATGTTCTGAACAACCAAGACTTTAATAAATCACCTTTAACCAGTACACGTGATTCTTTAGTTGTGAAAGGGTGAAAGCACAGGAGAGAAATAACAGACAACTCTACTCAAATACACAACGAGCCCAGCGGGACTTGAACCCGGGTCGCATTGGCAGGTATCATGCGGACCGCACAATGGACTACTCCAAGACACTCCATACAGTTTAAAGTAAACTGTTTTATTAGGATGATTGATTGGTTGACTGGCTGACTGGCTGACTGATTCATTCATGCAGTACAAAATCTAATGAAAACATTTCAAGCAAAGACCGAAAATGCTAATGTGGTTTTAGCTTCATCTCGCTAAACTTAAGGGATCGGTTATCATTTTTATAATACCACCATACAACCCCTTCTCCTCCGGTAGCATTACCAAGGTATTTTCCGTTTAAGTTGGAAGCGTAACAATAGCTATACCACCAAGCTCCACTGTGTTTACGTGCACAATTAGTTAAACAATGTTTGTCATTATCACGGTCTTTGGTAGTAAACGGCAAATTTCTGTGATACAATGCAAGCGAGTCACTGGCCGTACCAGAATACAAATTAGCGAGGATATTCATCGTGTACTTTTGACTTTCAGATCTAATCATAAAACTACCATATTTGGCATACACCTTCGCTCCGTCCCAGTCCTCCAGGTCAACTCGTAGCATGGGATGCCATCTCGCTGGTCGTGACGTCAGTCGGTGAATCTTTTCATTCCCCAGCCAAAACTCGCCCGTCAGGTTTCCAAAACCTGTTTTGTATTCATCCCAGGTACGGTAAAAGTCTACGGAGCCATCTTGTCTTCTTTGGAACATGGTCCAGCCCCCTCCGTCTGTTGTCATGTCACAGTAGACTTCGAAGGGACCACCACTCCCGTATGGATTAACTGTGTACACACCGCTTCGTCTTTCTCCTGATTTATAGATCTCGGAACAATCTTTAAAATCTGCAAGTTGAAGGACGATATTTTATGTTGAAGCCAAGACCGAGCCGAGACGTCACATGATCCCACAGGGCCGTAACTAGGGGGGGGGGGGCACAGGGTGCACGTGCATCCCCCCCCTCCCCATAAAAGCTTAAGGTCCGCTCAATCATCTCCTTTTCTTTTTTTTTGGGTTCTGCTTTCTTTTGGTTACCTTTTTTTTTTTTTTTGGTT